ACTCATAGAGCAGACACGGAGTTTGATTACACACAAACAAGCATTTAATTGAAACAGGGGCAAAGGCAGGAGATTACAAAAATAACAAAGGAGGAAAAACTGATACGCGCGATAGAAACAACAGCTATATAACAAAATGTGCTAAAAACACTACAACAGATACAGGCTAAAGACAAATATGCGGAAAGTTAAACTAATGACCTGAATCAAAGGAGATACAAGGCAATAATTACAGAATGCTCATGGTGGCGCTTTTAAATTTTAACGTGTGACGCAGCGCACCCTACAAATATTTAAAAAAAAGGCTGGTTGAAATAATTTAACAGTTTAAAAAAAGTCACAATAAAAAGTTCCATACGGACCAGGCCAGCTCTTGGTGCACGTAGGGGAGTTGACGGGTGCCGCTGAAGGTCTCGCCGGCTTGGTAGACGACGAGGGTGCCCGGAATTGCAGCCGTCTCACTACGTTGCGCGGGTCACTCCATGCTCGCCGCCTACGCGAGACTCGCGACACCGACGACCGCACTTGTTGCTGGCTGTACGTCAACTGCTTTTCGATGCAGTTCAAACCACCTCAGGGGCGTACACGTGTTCCTGTCTCATCTGGGAGTAATTTTCCTTGTTTATATCGCCGGTGCCCCTTCCGGTACCGGTGCAGGGAAGACGAGCCGGCGCCACGCTGGGTCGTTATAGTCGCCGGATGTCGTCCCCCCAACACAAAAGCGCTCTTCCTTAGAAGGTGGGGACCGCGGATGCTCCGAAAATTGGAGTCGTTTGTGACACCTTTGCTTGCTGTTGCCACTTCATACCCGCAAACTTCCTAATCTCATCTGCCCACCAAACTTTGTCTCTCCTTTTCCCACTTTCCTTCTCTTGGAATCTACAAAATAACCGGCAGAAAACGAAAGTAATGAACAAGAACCTCGAAAGAAAACAGCGCTTCGAGATAGGTGGCAGTGCACTTGAAGTTGGAAAAGGTATATACGTCTACTTAGGACAGGTAGTACCTGCGGAGCCGAGCCACGAGACTGAAGTAACTAGAAGAATAAGAGTGGGGTGGAGAAGATTCGGCAAGCATTCTCAGCTCATGGCTGGTAGATTGTCACTATCCCCTCAAGACGAAGGTATACAACAGCTGCATCTTGCCGGTACTTACCTAGTGAGCAGAAACCTGGAGGCTTACAAAAAGGGTTCAGCTTAAATTGAGGACGACGCGGAGAGTGATGGAAAGGAAAATAGTAGTTATCATAGTTGAAACCAAAAAGAAGTAATAGACATGGGTCGGGCATGTAGCGCGTAGGCAGGATAACAGCTGGTCATTAAGCATAACTGACCGGATTTCCAGAGAAAGCAAACGGGTTAGGGGGAGACAGTAAGTTAGGTGGGCAGATGAGATTAGGAAGTTCGCGGGTACATAATGGCAGCAGCAAGCACAGGACCGAGTTGAGTAGCGGATCATGGGAGAGGCCTTTGTCCTGCAGTGGACGTTGTCAGGCCGATGATCAATATTAACATTGAGGTTGCGTTACGTCTACTCAGCTTACTCAAGAAACAATCGACCCGCAGGGCGCGGGTTCGAATCCCGGCTGCGGCGGCTGCATTTCCGATGGAGGCGGAAATGTTGCACGCCCGTGTGCTCAGATTTGGGTGCACGTTAAAGAACCCCAGGTGGTCTAAATTTCCGGAGCCCTCCACTACGGCGTCTCTCATAATCATATGGTGGTTTCGGGACGTTAAACCCCACGTATCAATCAATCAAGAAACAATCGAGCTGAACAATTGTCGCTTTCTTTTAGGGTCGGTAGGTTCCACAAACAGGCAATGACTCAGCGCAATTACGACGCACCTGCACATTCATTTGTGTGCCATGACGCGTAGGAGACGCTGAGACATCGTTTAGAATCTCAGTAACGTGTTACAAGCACTCAAAACGCGCTTTCGTAGGCTACGACGCACGCGCGCGTAATAGAGACGCCCTCGATAGCTTCAGTATACTACACGGCCGCCGCTGATCACCCGCCAGAACCCAAGACGTTGCCATGCCATCCGGCTCGGCCGCTTCGTTCGTTCCACTGCCCCTAGCCCCGTCTGACTGCACTAGCGGGACAGGCTGGCGCCGAGGCCTCGCCGCCACGCTGGCGCCACGGCCACCCCGGCCGCCCGGCCACTGATAGGTGTTCTGTGGCCCGGCGCGACCGTCGAGACGGCGCCTCCCCTCTCTGCCTCGCCTTCAGATGGAATGCGTTGCGTACGGCAGTTTTACATTCGAGAAATTGTATTGTGCGCATCTTGCGAGATGTTTTCCTTTCTCTGTGGGTCACACTCACGCGGAGACTTCGTTGGCTCCGTGCCGGCACTGACCACTGCAGGGGGCCTTATTTATGGATCTGCAGTCGCGGTTAACGTTCATTGGCAGTGTGCGTACGCAGGGTTATCGCGGACAGCCGAATAAAACGGTAATTAACGAGTTGCGTTATGTGTGTTTTTGTACTAGCCCGTGTTATGTGAATGATAGAATAAATTATCAAGGGTGATTGGGCGCTTATTGCAAATTGTGTCTGCACTGTTGAAGGCATAATAAGCCGCCGAAAAGTGTAGCTAGGGTAGAGATTGAAACGGCGATGCGAACAGGGTCCGATTACGCTATCGCATACTATACTATTGACGGCGAAGCTCAACCATCCTCCAAGCTTTCCTTTTTTTCTTCTTAATAGGGCACTGAGAAGGCGAAAATTGCACACAGCTTCGCACTTGAGAGGTCATGAGATCACTCAAGGTTTTCGTTCCAGGCAACCTTCACTTGAGGGACAACGCAGAGATAGAAACTGCAAAATCGCTGCGCACAATGTGCGTCGCGCACACAATGTGCATTCTCTCGTGGGCCATTTCAGCGTTTTTTTTTTTTTGTCGCTTGCGCAGTACATTTCTTTTTTCGGAACCGGCTCGCGCGGCGATTTCCGTTAAAGGGCTTCTCAAGACCTTGTTGTTTTACATGTATTATCAGCGCGTTGCGTAGAGTGAAGGCGCAAGAGGTAAGTGCAGCAAGAATGGTAGCTATAGGGACCGGCAGCTCAAAGTTATTCAGCCTAAAAAATTCAAAATACAATTAAATGGACGGCTACTCTCAACTCGAGTTTTGCGCGGTCATCTCGACCCCCCCCCCCCCCCCATGTGATGTAGGATGGCTCCCCCAGTTTCCAAACTAACTGAAGGCTTTTACATACAGGAAGCTTGCATGCCATAGTGCCCGTTACGCCGTTGCGATGGTTACAAATATTTATCACACTCACAGTAACTCACTCATGTTCTTACTCGTTGCTACTCACACTCACAGCAACTCACTCACCTTCGCAGTCAAGTCTACTCACACTCATGAGTACTCACTCACGTTCATACTCGCTCCTACTCACACTCACAAGCTCTCACTCATTCCTACTCACACTGATGAATACTCACTCACGTTCTAATTCACATCTACTCACACTCACAATACTCACTCACGTTCATACTCAATTCTACTCACGCTCAGAGTACTCACTCACATTCATACTCACTTATACTCACACTCAGAGTAGTCACTCACGTTCATACTCACTCCTATTCACACTGAGAATACTCATTCACGTTCATACTCACTCCTACTCGCGCTCAGAGTACTCACTCACATTCACACTCACTTATACTCACACTCAGAGTAGTCACTCACGTTCATACTCACTCCTATTCACACTCAGAATACTCATTCGCGTTCATACTCACTCCTACTCACACTCATGAGCACCCACTCACGTTCATACTCACTTCTACTCACACTGAAAGTACTCATTCACGTCCATACTCACTCTTACTTATACTCACGAGTACTCACTCACGTTCTACTCACTCCTACTTATACTCATCAGTACTCACTCATACTCACACTCACCATGTTCAAATGAGTATGACTGAGTGTGAGTGAGTGTACTCATGAGTGAGTATGCCGAGCTATGCCGCCAGGTACCGCGCGCACTTCGCCGCCGCTTTCCGCTCTCGCTTTACGGGATCCGCTTCTAGTTGCACACGTTTCGCAGCGGTGTCCTTGGCGCGCACCGTCTCGAGATCCACCCGGCGCCGAATTCGCTTGGCGGCAGCCTCTCGAGTCACCGATCGCGATCCGACGAGTACGGCGTCGATTCGGGAGAATGAGAGAAACGGGCGCGCTGGCGCAGCTCCGCGCAGCAGCCAATTGGAGAGCAACGGCACCTCCAACGCCCTTTAGTCTCCATTCACCAACCGCCATGTTGCACACATCTCTATGGGACAGCGTCATCTATGAAACTAGACGAGAAGTGGCGATGATCGACGGCGCCTGAATTGATCCATAATGTATGGTGCGGGTGGGTTCTTTTCAGTTGTCACTCCCTGTCTACGCAATAGGCATACAATTCATGCTCGCTACCAGCTCAGGTGTACAATCATCAGCTCGCATGCACCACACCATCCCGGATAGAAATTCCTGGCTTCGGAAGCATTCGCTTTCCCGATAAAGACAAACATCATTACTAGTCGAGACGTGGTCTGCGACAACATTCGACGACTGCCAACTCCATCTTATAACTTGAAACTCTGCCTTCTTCGAATGACTATGCCATTACATCAACTGACCGCTCTACACAACCGTGGTGCTCAGATCGTAACAGAGCTGGTCTCAGATGTAGTCTATAATCGCAACTTTGGCATACATTCCCCTGAATTGTAAAGCTACGAAACTATTTCTATATAAAGTATCTGCTCACACTCACATGCTAAGCTACCCCCAACGACGCCGCCGAAATAATGATAAAGGATGTATACTTGTTATAATGCGACATGTTTCAGCTTTCCCCACCCCATATTCTTTACTATTCATTTTAATTTAGCGATTGTTTTCTTGTGATACTCACGGAGTTAAAGAAAGAGTGTCGCTGTGTGCATTGAAACGTGAGGTGCATTCGGAATGTCTCTGTTGTCACCGTTTCGCAGGCATTCCAGATGATCGACTCTAACAAGGATGGCTTTGTCTGCAAGAACGACCTGCGAGCCACGTGGGACTCACTCGGTGAGATAGCGTCGATAATCTGTTCTGTTCTATTCTAACTGTTTTGCTGTGGAGAAGTTGAGGTCCATACTGCCTCGGCTACTCCATATTAATAACTTACCCAAAACGATATCCAAAAATTAACAAAAAATGGTACTTCCCCGTCTTGATCCTGTTTCTGGGATACCGACGACATGAGGCAGCGGTAAATAAAATGAGAAATGATGCAGTATAGGTATTGAAAAACATGACATTTTCTTCTAGTGTGTGGCCCGCTGTAGTCCTTTTGTGCAAAAGTCTATTTACTGTTTATTATATGAATATTTGCTATCACCGAGTGGCTGGTAAAATTTGTTATTCCCCCCAATGCGATTATTTTCTACTCAAGGAGGAAGACGGAGTGCTCACTTGTCGACGTTTGCGACTTCGCTTCTCATTTATTAATAACTTCAAATGCCATCTTGATATTGCGAAACCGCACTTCCGCCACAATAAAATTGTCGGGCGACAAGATTCACGAATAAATTATCTATCTCTAAAATGTTACTATGAAGATTGGGGAACTGTTGCGATAGGCCATGAGTTCGTCAGGGTATACTGAGTAGCGGTAATTTTAGCGAGACAACTTGCTGTATACGCCTCGCTAAAATTCGGTTGCCGCGAAGTTGGTTGAGTTATAATATCTAATGGTTCCAAAGTAATGCAATGGCTACGACATGCCTTCTCATGGCGCAGAGCTTAGCCTTATTATCCCCGAGGTTCTTTAGCGTCGAGTCATAACAAGCTCCGTGATCGCCTTCGCGTTCCGTTTCTGATTCGAAATGAAACCCACAGCATTATATAAAATAGCAACACGCCCAGCCACTACGCATGATGTTTGCTGCATAGAGAGAATTATTTTGAATTAGGCTTCACCTTACCTCATGCGTAAGTCTATCTAACGTGTTTTCGGCAATGATATACAAATCGTTTATTGTTACCGCAGTCGTCCTCAGAAATTTTCCTAATCCTCGCTGAGAATGACGCGCGTAAAGCTTTGTTTGATTTTTTTTTTGTCGTTTCTTTTACGATCGTGATTGCGCGAGAGTGTCCTGGCGGTGACGTGTGCGCATGCGCTTCTTGCAGGCCGGATCATTCCTGAGAAGGACCTGGACGGCATGATCGCCGAGGCTACTGGCCCCATTAACTTCACCATGTTCCTCACGATCTTCGGGGAACGAGTCTCGGGTAAGCGCGCTGCAGAGGATTGTCTCCGCTTCATGTGTATACTGAATAGATTTAGTTTTCGCGACAAATTACGGATGCATTTACCGCACGTTTTTAACAAATGGCTAAGCCTGTACCTGTATTACCTGGTGCAGTGACCCTGCTCATTCTTAAGGTCTAACATCTCTTTCCTTGTTACGTATGACGAATATAGTACGCAAAACTTTGGATTATACACAACGCTACCAATACACTCATGTATGAGCCATAAATTTTTTTCATCGCGTGGCCCTTACACGAAACCGGGCCATTTAGTTTGATTTTCTGACTGCACGCTGCATGCCATGATGCCCCTTATTACCACGCTAACTGTTTTTACAACTTCTTGTTCTCTGTTGGCATATTTTATCTCCGAAATTTCCATGGCCAAGCTGAAAGAGTGGCTCTAATAGGGGTGTGACTTTTTCGAGAGTGCATTTCTAAAAGCGATATGCATAATACTAGCACACTTATTTGTTCGTAAGTGAGATGTGATATTTTGGCACAACAACCACGAAAACGGCACTGAGTTTAAAATGCACAGCTTTTCGGCATTGTAAAAAGAGTGGTCTAGTGTCAAATTCACATATTCAAGGTTCGACGCTATACATACAAGTGATTTATTCTTCAACACAGTTTTTAGACTGCGATGAGAGATGTGTATTGCAGGGAGGAAGAGGAGGGAACTTCAAACGAGTAGACTTTTGTTCTTCTTCGTCGAGCAGCAAAAATAAAAATCAACACACGGTAAAGATACGTTTTAGCAGCGCAAAATAGCTGGTTTTACATTTATACCAGAGGCACAGTGGCTCGTGTACATATGTGTTTCATGATTCTCTTCTAAAATGCGCAGTGGATTTTATGAAATGTTGGGCTTAAAAGTTTTTTCAGCCCGCTTTACCAGTGGCGTTGTCAGGGTTGTCTAAACCCTCTGAAATTATTCGTTTTGCTTGTTGATATATACACGCACACATACAAACACACGCACAAGTATACATAATGTATAGTTAATCCCCATCCGCCTTCCCTCTGAAAAAAAAATTCTGGCTATGCCCCTGCACTTTACCTTCGTGCTTACGAGATGCTCCACGTTCTAAAAAAAAAAGCTCGTGTTTTTGTACGTTGTACTTCGCAGCATGCGTAATCGAGCACCTAAACTTACAGGGACTGATCCAGAAGACGTCATCAGAAACGCCTTCAAGACCTTCGACAAGACCGGAAGCGGAAAGATCAGCGAGAAGGAGTGAGTGCTATTACTTTAAACAATCATGAGACGTCTTTTTTTTTTGCGAGTGCTTTTGGGGTTAAACGGAGACTGGCAGTTTGGGCAAATCGGTGTGACTTCATCTTCGGTGCTCAAGCTGTAGCTGACATTTTAGCCCTTTATTTTCATTTGTTACACCACAGCGCATTATTATTGCATACACCTTTTTTGCACTAATGTATCGCACTCAATGCTTCCCATGGGGCATGTACAGTACTTTAAAAATAAGTAAGTAAACAAATAAATGAATAAATAAATACTGCGCAGAAAGAGAGAGAGAGAGAGTTAAGCAATGGGATGCCTGTCGCTTAGCTTCCTTGAAAACAATATAAATTACGAGTCGAGATGCTTGAATGAACGTCATATTGGCCGATTACTTCGCTGTGGAAGCCTATTTCTGCAATGGTGAGAAAGGGCCTTATCGAATCTAAGTGAGCTCTCTCGGCATTTTTGCAGCTAGACAAGGCAAGCAAACGTACTCGGGCACAGCGCAATGCAGATCGAATAAAGAAAGAAGGGCGACAATGATTATCAGCTTGTTTTTTTTGTTGGTTTATGGCGCCTCTTATAACCCGAAGTTGGCCAGAACGATTATTGGCTTTGAGACCCGACAATCTGCTTTCACTTCACGGGCAACCACATGGACGAGGTTAGGATGGCTTCACAAGACACATTTGTGTGAAAAGCGGGAAGATAATAAGTAATAACAGTGTATTTAATAAAAGAAAAGGAAAGGGACATTATAAGTGGAAAGTCTCGCGACTTTTTGTACGCAATGCGTCTTGACTTCCAGTACACCAATGGGCGGCATTGTGATACTAAAATATAAAGTATTAGGCATAAAAAAAGTGAAGAATACAAGGCCCACTGGCTCGCTTCCGGTGTTGAATAAATGCGAAACAAACCTCGCTGTAGCTCCTCCGTCTTCTTATCAGTATTTGGTCTCCAACAACTCATGCTGTTTATGGCTTTTTTTGCAGGTTGAAAAGAGCACTTATGACTTGGGGCGAAAAGTTCCAGGAGTCAGAGGTGAGTTGGCGTATGCTGCGTATACATCTACTCGTGTAAACTAAAAGGCTACAGTATCATTGTTGTGGTTCGACGCCGCAAAACAGCGATACAAGGGACGCCGCAGTGCACATGCGGGCTCTTTATTGTACACATAAATCTTAGAAGCACACGGGCCTCAAGCATTTTCACTTCCGCCTAAAATGCGGCTTGCGCGGCCGGGATTAGATACCGGTAAAAAAGTACTGACTGTTTTTCTGTGATAACTCTTTTTCAGCTTGTAACTGATGAGCACGTGTGTCAGAGACGTGATTAGCCTCATCTGGTGCCCGCCGACACCGACGCTGACATTACCTTTGGCACGAAACATATAAGAAGAAAAGAAAGAAGCAAACTGTGTATTTAGTTCTCTTTGTATACACTGTGGAACAGTGTCCTAGGATGCAGAAAGGCAAGAATTGAGATATTAAAAAGACGCGCAGTCACGTCGGGTCACGCTGACCGCTTTCTACCACATCAAAAAATTGCATGTTGATCATGGCATCACCAGCGTAATCACATTGGTGCGCGTTATGCGGTGAAGAAAAAATTGCATAAATTCTGATGCCAGTCACTTCTATCAATCTTGTATTGTTTTAAATGTCCCTATATCGATCAAGTTTCCAGAGGTGTGGCGCGGCACTGTGGAAGTGATGGACAAAAAAAAAAACGACTACGGTATAATGGAGACAGAGGGTGAATATTTTGTCTCGTGACTGCAGATAAAAATATTAGATCATATCTCAAAACGCTGAATCAATAAAATTTAATCGAATACATTATAGTCATGGTCACAGTACAAGATCGTCACGAACGCATAAAAGATATATGTAAATATTTGCTGTTAAACTGACGATTGTGAGGTTCAGCGTTGAGTTAAACGAAGGAAAACTAGTCTATTTTTCAACCAACTATTATCGTCATGCGAAATAATCATAACCATAATCATGATGACGTATGTAATCAGTGTGGCTCTTCCTTTCTTTAGTGTGATCGGAGACTTCTGGGCGTCGTTACGTCGCCACATGTCCGCCTTGAGCAGCCTTTATGTCCTCGAAATTCATCACAATACATCAGCTATCTACGCAATCACTCATAGCCCTCTGTGCGGTTTTGGGACGTTAAAATTTGACCTAACCGGAACTTTCAAATATTGGGTATTGCTAGAATAGTGTAGACATGTTTACGCGATATATGATTTCGTTATATAGTCGCAAACTCGGACAGCATGCATGCCAGTCTTGATGCGTCAATGGAACGCGTAATGGAGGACGTTGGCATATATGAAGGCAAATTATTATTTCCATATTCGGCTCTGCGTATGCAAGAGAATCACATTGTTCACGAAGGCAAACATGTTTCATTCCGAAATCAGAGCCATGAGTTTGAACCTGAATCTATATCTTGGCTTGTCTCCCTCCTTTTCATTCGTGAAAACGCTCCGACTCGGCTGGAAAAATTCGTGCGAGGGCTCTCACGCATTCAGATCTTGGACGACATCGTTCACGTTGCTTCCCTACTCACTTGTTCCGTGCAGGTGGACGAAGTGCTGAAGGAGGCGCCCATCGACCGGGACGGCAACATCGACATCAACTCCTACGTGAAGATCATCTGCGGCGGCACGGACGACGAAGAGTAAGGCGTCGTGGTCCGAGAGCCGTCCCCGCCACCGACACCACTTCTTGAATGCTCAGTCCCGGGGCTCCGGCTGAGGCCGCGTCTCAGCGATAGCCGAGGTGGCCTCACGCTGGTGGCGATTCACGCTTCCTCTGCAATACACGTGGCCGCACATGATGCGGGCCGCTTACCAACCATTCTGTTTCCGTGTCTCTCATTCGCGTCACTAGAAAAACATGCAGCGGCAGCCGTATTTACGGGGGCCCACTGGCCAACTTGCTGGCCTAGAAGTCGTGTAAGCAGTTGGAGTAGATTTGGGAAAGCCATCCGAGTCGGGACTCGCCAGTATTTCGATGAGTCTGCATACAGACACACAAATTTTGTCAGCGCGATCACAAGACGCCGACAAGGCGACGATCACGAGTGCCACTTCTAATGGTTCTTCAAGAAAATAAAAACAAAAAAGCAGAAAAAAACAGTACCATAGCAAAGCCAGAGAACACTAAAAACTATGTGGAAATAAGATGTTTTTTTACGCTTGGTCGCAACATTGACGTCATGTATTATTGATAACGGCCAGTGGTAAGTGCAAGAAGCGAGCACAAAGTCGAGCACTGTGGCCACTATACTGACCGTAACATTACGCTGCTGTTGATCTGAAGCCCGTTGGATTCAAGAGGTTTCGTTCATGAATTTTAGGGAAATCTCCCAGCTGCCCGACTCAGGGTACTAACGATTTAAGCGCAGTTTCTGGATTTTTATTTTCTCTTACTAGCTCTTTTGAAGCTTTATATAGATTTCGAGGATACATACATACACACACATACATACATACATACATACATACATACATACATACATACATACATACATACATACATACATACATACATACATACATACATACATACATACATACATACATACATACATACATACATACATACATACATACATACATACATACATACATACATACATACACGCATGCACTTTAGCCGAGTGTCCTTGCAAAATACATGAAACTGTGCTTTTGCGAAATGAGGTCCAAACTAGGACGAACTTATCGAGGTACACTCACTTGCTCACTACCGGTACTCTAAAAAGAAATGAGGCAACAATTAGCCCAACAGATGGGTATGTGCCACACACAGATATTTGTGAACTGGATCAGAAAACCATAATCGTCATAAAAGGGTATGTGCCACAAAAATTGGGCAAATCCCATTATATACAACTTCGACGAAAAAGGAAGATCGCAACAGTTAGCCCAACAAATGGCTGAGAAGCGGAGGCGACGAGCCGAAGACACGGAATTGTTGACGGCGGGACGGTAAAAGCACCTCCTTATGCGCAATCCACGCCTCTGATCCATAAATATTGAAATGGTATATGGACGATACTGCTTTGAAATGCCTGCGAGTGGACGTCAGTATATAAAGGTGAATTCCGGTAAGGCTGATATATGCATTGCCAAGCATACGCATAAAACAAGTTGACCGCAGCGAATCATTCGACTATAAATTAGTTTGCTGTCACCTTTCCGTAGTAATGATCTTCTTTTTATTTAAACTGCTTGTCGACCCTTGTTTTTTTTTAGATTACCTGCGCTCATATGCGGGACAATCGAAAGTAAAGCCAAGAGTTAATCATTTATTTCCGTGGTTTCAAGTGCCTAAACCATATGACTATGAAGCAGGCTGTAACAGAAGGTTCAAAAAATTTCGACCATCTTGAGTTTTTTTTTTTTTTTTTAAGAGCACACGGACCTCTGTTATTACGCCTCCATCGATATGCAGCTGCGGCGGCCGGGATGGAAACCGCTTCTCTGGCCGGTAGCTGTACCATCGCGGTGCACGGAAACAAGCGTAAGGGTACAAGTCAGTTATGACGAGGCTCTCTAGGCTTAGAAGAGCCCTGCAACTCTTTTTGAGCATGGTCAGAACACGCAGCCAATCAGTAGTCGAGGCTCCCGAGAACACGTGATCCAAATAATACAGCGAAGAATACGGCCTAGAATTTGCAATAAATTCCCAAAGTCCGCTAAAAATCGCTTTCTCTTCTCTATTACAATGAAGCTATATCTGAGTAACAGGCGCAAGTACCACGTTATTGTTTGATTTGAGAACAGAGCACTTGGGAGTGACTGGGGCTGAAAATTTGAGACCGGCACTTGTTCTTACGTGCACGCGTGTTCGCACTGAAACTGAAACGTCATGCGTTCGAAAAAAAAAAATGGTATAGGTCACGAACTGCTCGTGACGTGTTTTCTTTCCCTTGGCTAACCAACACTTACCTTTCTCTAAGCTATTCTACTCGTCGGGACGAGAGAAGAGATAAAGCAATTGCAGCATGTGACAAATCTTTGACGGATTCTAAATACTTTTTTTTTGCATGGTGGGCGGTTCGTGAAAGATTAAGCTGCTTTACAGAATCCATTGCATGACGATTTGGAAAAGTGTTGCAGGGCTTCTATAAAGGGACAGATGTCATAGGGCATTGGGAGATATGTGAATGGTTTAATATGTTTATGCAAAACTCTCGAAATTTAAAAAGATGAAATATATATGAATTGTTATGAATTCTGTGATAGTTGAGAAAGAAAAAAAACATTTGTAGATAAGCAGTTCACGTATGCATCGTGGTACACAACATGATCAATGATTGATCAATATGTGGGTTTTAACGACCCAAAATCACGACATGATTGTGAGATATGCCATAGTGGAGGGCTCCGGAAATTTCTACCACCTGGGGTTCTTTAACGTGCACCCAAATCTGAGCACACGGGCCGTGATACGCGTCAGCTTTTCTGTGTATTGTACAGTAATTCGTGTGTTTACATTCGATCTGCACGGGAAGAATGCTTTCGCGCGAATTCCGTAGGTGGAACTGGGTCATTTCACTCGTGACATTACAGTTAATTGAAGAAAAGTTTTCATGTCAAGTCGAATAATCTCCAACCGACATAACTAATCGAGGTTGAAAATCGCAATGCTATCCACACCATCACTTGCGGCTGAAAGGGACAATAAAAAGCGACAAAATTTTCAGCGCACCAGTATAGAGAACAATTTCACAATCCCGAAAGCACCCCTCATACTGCGACACGACACAGCAAGAAAGCGCACGAGAACAAAATGCAAGTGGAGACGCCATCTTGAGATTTGCGCTCCAAACACTATGATGTCATAGATTTTTAAGAGCCTACTGGGTCCTACATGGCTAATTTAAATAGATAAAAATAAGTACATTGACATCTGTGGGTGCCATAGACCTAGCATACAAAGTTTCAGAAAATATCATCGAGCCGATACCGCTAATATACGAGAAATACATTTTTAAATTAGTGAAGTCGAGCGCGCAGATTCGATGCGAAATTTAAAAGTGAAACTTCATTTTCTTTGCAAATAATTAACTTACGACAGTTACACTTAGCGCATTAAAGTTCCTGGAGTGCCATTTATGAATGTAATTCAAGTGATTGTTGCTCTTAGTGCCCCTTTATGCGCTCTCGTTTCACTCGCAACTATCGCTCTTGAAGACCGTACACAGAAAACACAGCATTGGAGGACTGAACTCATTTTGCATAGCATTTTATGGCACTACTGTGCTATGACTAGCACAGGCGATACCGTACATTGCGCACCACATCGCAGTCTTGCTACATGGCTATATATGTCACATGCCTCGAACGAAAGCCTTCGTGCGGCCTCTAAAGGCAATGGCTCACTAGTCCAGATGGGCCTTTGGATTACGATGCTGGGATAAGTGCACGCTGGCACGCCTTTTGCTGGCCAAACACATTCCCTACCCTTCGACGCCCTCGAGAGAGGGCGTAGTTGGAACAGGATCCAGCTGAGTGGAGCTGGAACCGAACTCTTGAAGGCTCTCGAATGTCTGGCTGATGTCTTCGAGCGACTTCCCTTTGGTCTCTGGAATGCACGTGTAGATAAAGAGGACTTGCAGAATTGTGACTAAGGCGAACATCCAGAAGAGACCGGAGAAGTTGAAAAGGTGGATAAGGTCCTGAAACTCTTTGGTAATAAGGAACTCGCAAAAGAAGCAGAAGGCGGTGCTGACGCCGGTGGAGAAACCACGCGCTCTGGGTGACAGGATCTCGCCCATAACGACCCAGGGCACCGGACCGATGCCGAGACAGAAGGCGGCTATATATGTCGTGAGCGACGCGAGTGGCACATAACGGTAGCGATGGCGGAATTCGCCATTGTCCATGTCCTTGTAGTAGAAGAAGCAGCCCAACACTGTCAAGCTGGCTGCCACAAATAGGCAGGAGACCAGCATGAGGCAGCGGCGACCCGCGCGGTCGATGAGTAGCGACGCTGCAAGTGAGGCGATTACTTGCACCACTCCTAGCATAATCGTGCAGTCTGTGGCTGAGATATCCGAGCCGGATGACTCGAAGATCTTGACCGCGTAGAAGGTGATAACGTTAATGCCGCAGAACTGCTGAAAAAACATGAGCAGGAGTGTGTAAGCGAGCGGCAGTGAGAAGCTGCGCTGAAACAAGTCTCCAATGGCAGTCGGCTGACGCAGTATGCTCGCCTCGATGACCAGGCACTCGGCCTCCGCGCAAACTTTCGGCCCGTACAGGAAGCGCAGAGCGTCTAGCGCTTTGTCGCGTTGGCCGTGAGCCAGCAGCCAGCGGGGAGACTCGACGGCGAACTCCATGGCGACAGCCATCAGCACAGGGCACACGGTGCACAGCAGAGCGAGCGACAGCCAGTCGAGCCACTTGCCGCTCACGAAGACGGCCAGCACGCCCAGCGTCATGGCTAGCTGCACGCCGGAGCCCAGCAGGCCTCGAACGTGGGCTGGACTGATGTCGGCCACAAACACGGGAACCGCCAGCGAGACGAGGCCGCAGCAGAAGCCGGTGAGCACGCGGCCGACGAACATCCACGGAAGGCTGGCGTTGCACAGCGCGATGCAGAGGCAGCCGCCCACGAAGCCTAGCGATGAAAGCTGGATGGGCCGCACGCATCCGAAGCGTTCGATGAGGAAGCCGCTCACCAGGCTGCCCCCGAGGGCGCCAACGGCGAGCACCGAGCCAAACCAAGTCTCCTGGGAGCGCGTCATGCGGACGCCTTGGGCGGCCATACTGGCCAGGGCCGGAGCCGAGTAGCCCATGACGCTGCCCATGGCCACGGAAGCAAGCGACGCCGAGCCAGCCACATAGTAGAAAGCGGGCAGCTTGAAGGTACGCTGCATCGGACTAGACCAGCAACGCCGTTTATTCTTGTTTGTTCGCCCAAACACTGGCTCACACCCACTGCATAGGGACTTGGCCAACACTGGGTGGTGTTATAGCTTTGTATAGGTATTAAAAGAACACTAAAGAGCGAAACAATCTTTTGCGTATTACTAAAGTACAATTTCCCGATCCCGAAAACACCTTTCTTAACGCGACATGGCGCTGCGAGAAAATACGCGAAAAGAAAATCTGGGTGGAGGCGTCAGATTCCCGCTCTAAACAGCATGACGTCACATATTATGAAGGAGTCTACTGGGTCCTACGTAGCTTCTGATCAATAAAAACGAAGTACAATGTCTCCTGCGGGTGTCATAGACAAGCATACGAAGGTTGAGAAAATGTCATCGAGCCAATGTCGTCAAAATACGGAAAATACATTTTAAGATTTCTGACGTCCCGCGTGGATACTTCAGTGCGAAACTTTAAAATAAATCGTTATCTCTAACTTTTTTCCGCTAATAATAAACTTATGATAGCGAATTATGTTACATCAGAGTTCTCAGGGTGCAGTTTGTCAATCTAAACCAAGTGAATGTTTTTTCTTGGTGTCCTTTCAAGAATAAGACAACTTGTAAAATGGTCTTCGGCCTTTTTCTTGCCTATTTTGATATTAAAGTCACCCATAAGTATAGTGTACTGTGTCTGCCCTTTATCAATTGTTGACTTTATGTCTTTGTAGAGGCGTTCTACCGAATTATCAGCATGGATCGATGCAGGTGCGTAGGCCTGTACTCCCTCATCTGGTACCTTTTGTTAAACTTAATTATGATACATGCCACCCTCTCACTGATGCTATAGTATTCCTCTATGTTGCCAGTGATACACTTTTGTATAATAAACTCCACCCCTAATTCTTTTCTGCCAGTTGTTGTGCACCTATTGATGATAATGATGATGATGATGATGGTGGTGGTGGTAGTGATGGCGATGTCGAGTCGGGTCAATCATATAGTCCGAAATTTTAAGTGCTGATAGAGGCAGCAACAGCACAGAGTTTTAGAACAGCGCAACGCAAAGCTTCTCATCTGCGTTGTGCATGCGTCTTGAGCTAACACCCTACATTCTCCCGCTGAGTGACGCAAGCTAACGCTACGCCTGTAACAACCGCAAGTTTTGCGTACAGTGCTCTAAAACTATTTAATCTCGGCAGAGAACATTGCTTTGAAATAGGTGGTGAGACACTCGAAGTTGTACAGGAATCTCTACTTAGGAGTCACGACCAAGGGCGCTACTAGTGGGGTAGAGAGGAAGCTGGAGCCCCACCCCCCAATATTTCCGTCTGCCTCACCCTATTCACCTCTCAAGAGCAAACATATTCAAACGAAAACGCATGAGTTCCCTGTTTTCCTTCTCCTCTGACTTGTCGTGGATGTCCCATCATAAAAAAAAAAAAAATCCTGGCGCCACCTTTGTTCAGAGCAATAAGTAACCGTGGAGCCAAACAATGAGAGTGAAATAACTAGAAGAATAATGATGAAACGGAGCACATTCTGCAAGCATTTTTAAATCATGAAAGGTACTCTACCACTATCCTTCAAGAGGAAGGTGTATAACAGCTGCAAACTGCCGGTACTGACTTGTACGGAGCAGAAACCAGGAGGCTTACAAAGAGGGTTCAGGTTAAATTGAGGACGACGCAGCGAGCAATGAAAAAAAAAATGGTAGGTGTAACCTTAAGAGACAAGAAGAGAGCATAGTGAGCCAGGACAGAAGCGGGCTCTAAGGATATCATAGTTGGAATGAAGAAGAAATGGACAGGGACCGGGAACGTAGCCCGTAAGCAGGATAACCACTGTACCCCTGTACTGCTGGTCATTATGACTGGATTCCAGGAGAAGGCAAACGTGGGAGAGGGAGGCAGAAAATTGGGTGGGCAAATGAGATTAATAAGTTTGCCGGTGTAACGTGTCAGCAGAAAGCACAGGACCGGATTATTTGGCGAAACATGGAAGAGGCCTTTGCCCTGCAGCGGATATTGAAATGATGACGATGAACGGTAGCAGTGTCAGTTAGAACGAAGAGATAGTACTGGTGATGATAATGATGATGATTCCCGGAAGAATGCCACAACCCTCCAAGGGGGATCGACCACGAAACAAGCGGCAGAATAATTTGTGAAACAAAAATAAAGAAACAAAACAGGCAAAGAGAGAGCGAAGAAAAGAAGGGGAGGGAAAAATAATCTATATGGAAGCAAAAATATTTGTATTAATTGAGCTGCATTTCAATACAATGCTACTTAAAATAAGGTTAAATATATGAACTAGTTAATGACCACTGCTATCCTACATATCTGCTTTTTCTGTGAATATGCTCAGATTTGGGTGCACGTTAAAGCCCCCCCCCCCCCCCCCACACCGGTGGTCACAATTTCCGGAGCCCTCCACTACGGCGTCTCTCAATCATATGGTGGTTTTGGGGTGTTGAACCCCCCATATCGATGATAGTTATAGCGCGGGAACAGAACGACGACAAAGGCACAAGAAGATTCCCTTTGTCGTCGTTCTGTGCTCGCGCTATAACTATCATCATGTCATACCAACCAGTCCAAACGGCCACACTTCTAACCCAGATATCGATATCAATCGTTTTCCGTGAATGAAAATGAAAGACAATGACCATCAACGTATATAAGACTTACAGTGCGCATGAAGTAATCACGTAGTATTAGGAGCCTCACACTGCTTGTTTCACAGCTGAATTAATAAAACGGAGTTTAATTGGGAAGGCTTTCGCATTTATTCACTTTTTTCATTACCGCGTTTCTTGACTTTTTTTTTTATTCCAGTAGCCAGTTTCACTATAGGGGGAGCATAAAACACTTCCTAGGCATGTGTCGTGTAGCTCAGTTCGTTTTTTTTTTATCTGTTGGCCTGCATTTTCCATAGGAAGTTTACTTAATTCTTCCAAGATGTCAGTGGCAAGTCCCACTGATAAGCAGTGATGAATATGATCAGTTGTTTTCTTAAGAAAATCCACAGTGGTAATATCATCGTCGACCAGAGCGTGATAATAAATGGGAGGTGTGCTCCTCATGGACTTCAGCATTCAAACATCGTCAGTCGATGTACTTCGTGCAAACCCGACATAATTTATCCGGGAATCGATTCGGGATCCCGGTAGTAGGGCTGTGATGGGGCGTTTTTCGATAAGAACTAACTTCCGCACTTGGTACTTTTATCACTATCGGTTTCAACGTCAGTAAGGCGATCAATGTCACGTCGTAATCGCTTTGTCCCGTGTACTGTTAAGCTTGAGTCGTCTTCGTCTATAGTATTAAACGGCGCATACTTTTCGGTTTGAAACCTTGTCACCGGCCTTTGCACTCTCATAAACGCCATTACTAACGCATGGGTGCCACGCTGCTTGAACAAGTGAGGAAGATATATCAAAATAATTCCTATTTGAACAAGATGTGCGTTTCTATTTCAGTAAACACTATACCGAAGATTGGCGCACGTTTCTTCCAGGCACTATATTTTACACGCTCCCCTGCACTAAAAAGGAGCAGAGCATTATTAAATTATGGAAAGGTGCACAGTACGGCGATGAAGCAAATTTGTGCGCTGTAAAGATGAGGTGGATTCATCAGCTTTTTGCAAAATAAAAAAAAAACCTGGACGGCACATCACAGTACTGAACATACTAAGAAATGAAAAGGGTTTGGTTCAGTCGAGTTTGCAGCAGCCATTTACCAATAAGGCCCGCAGTTGCAGAAGCTTACGATTGGAATTTCGCTTGCTACCAAATTGTGCAGTCCGCGGTCGTGCATGAAATAGAGGTACGAGGCTTGTACCTTCGGGCTTTTCTTTTTCTCCTCGATCGATTAGCCAAAGTGAATCGCTGACACCTGTTTTCTCTTTGTAGAGATTTTATTGTTTACATAAACGTAGATCAAGAGCAGCAACCACCGGAAACGACTTGAAGAACGGATGGTCGGACAGACGAATACAAGGTGCATGAGGCCGCGATTCTCTCTTTTTTTTCACGCAATATTTGGGGTCATATTTCTGACTTGAGCGCAAGTGCGCATGTGCCGGTACAGGTTGCCGGACTGGGTGAACGCCTTGGCGCAGCCGAAGCAGGTGTACGGTCGGTCGCCGGTGTGTGGGAGCATGTGCTTGTTGTAGCAGGAGATGTCGGCGATGTCGGCTCCGCACACCACGCAGAGGTAGGGACGCTCTCCCGTGTGGCTGCGCGCGTGCGTCACCAGGGAAGATTTCTGCACGAAACACTTGCCGCAATCGCTGCACCGATAGCGACCGCTAATTTTGCTCAGGTGTCGCGACTCGTGCGACCTGTGCGCGCTCGCCGAGTTGAACCGCTTCGGGCCGTATTGGCAGGTGATCCGTTCAGCTTCCATCTTCACCTCCACCGGTGAAGATGGAAGCTTCTGCGGGGGAAGAAAATCCAATATATCAATGTATGGGGATGCTGCTTAATCATTCGGAAATCAGCCGTGCATACGGCAAAATCACCGCATCTGCGCTACAGACGTAAAGGTGATATTTCAATGGGATGAAAGGCGACTGCAGGGAGCCTATTCGGCAGAGGACACCGAAAAATCCCGTGTACAGCACAGGACAAGATCCACCAAAATGAGACCGCCACGATTATCGAACCAACGACATCTGCAATCTTGTTCACGTTAAAGGGAAACAGCTTCATGAACTCTTATTAAAGGAGTACTACCACGATTTGAAGGCCTCGCAAAAGGGTCATTGTTTGTTTCCTTGGTAAACAGTGTCAACGCTCTCCTCACGTCGGAATCTGAGAACACGCGTAAAATATTTTATTGAAATTTTAAGGTTTTCGTCGTAGAGCACCTGCAAGATATCTCTATTTTGATGGAGAAATCACGATAATTCAAGACAGTTACTGAGTTCGCAAGTTCTGTGTCCTGCAGTCAGCCTAAATCACAAATTCACCTTCAGGGATCAATTTACTCATCGTTGTTTACGTGCACCACGAACAGATGACAAATTTACCACGTTGCCAGTTGCCGCCTTCCTGTAACCTCACACTGCTCTGGCAAGCCATTGAGAAGTCACCCCCCTCAATATCAAAACCAAAAGTTTCGTTTAAGGGCAGTAAAAATATATTCAGAGCATTCCCAGACACCACAATACTCTCTACACCAGCACTTTTATTTAGATGAACAATCCTAAAGTATTCAAAACTCGTGTAAGTTGTACATTAAAGCAGATCTTGCCGGCACTCAAACATGGTGTCGCTGCTGAGAGTCTCACTGTGGTCCCGTGGTGCGATTCGCAACAATAAAGTATGATAATTTAGTAAAACAGGAACTTGTGCAAGTAACCTTGTCATTGACAAGCAATTGAGAAGGTCTTACACGTACTATTGACGATGACTTTCCCGGCGAGTCTCCACTCCTCCGGCAAATCGGCACTCTGCTGGATTCGCGAGATAATCCACTTCCGGATGGGCAGGTGCGCAATGGTTTCACTACAATGAGATAAGTACAGTCAGAACAGGTTCTCGTAAACGAATATAATAAGCACCAGTATATAAAATCACAAAATGCGGGATAGCCGTGATCGTACAGCGGTTAGTACCTTGCGTTGTGGCCGCAAAAAAAAAAAATGACAATTTTAACCTGGGCATCTTGCGCCACGATTTACACGTACTTCATCACTGATCCGACCAGGCCGGTATTTCATAGCGATGAGGGATGCCATATTTTATGCTAGTCATTTCATCTAATGCTCGCGGATGGCTGAAAATCTTGATAACGTGGGGCAGACCGTTGCTTTGACCACTGGCTGGACCATGAAAAGGCGGTAGCGGCAGTATCGTCACAAAAGACGCTCGCCACAATATATTGGCCTTGTGCTCATAAAAGTGATTGCTGTTATGATGCTTTCGCATAACTACGCATGAAGATTACAAGCATTCACAGAAAAATCAATCGAAAGCAAAAATTTCAACTTTGAACCCCACTCAGAAAGGCACCCTCATCCCTGGTTCACTTTATATAGCGCACCGGTTTCAGCCGTAGGCTGTAGCACGTATCCGTGGCCTATTGAAAGTCAAAGTCGTTCACTCTACCACGCAAAAGGTCACTCATAAAAAAGGTGGCCAAACATGCAATGACAGATAAGCGCACAAGCGATCTACAGTTGCAATAATGGCCAGTTCAAGAGATCACTTTCGAAAAAAAAAAAAATCCTGCAATGTTTCCAAGACAGCCCCACCGCATTGGTCTAGTGGCTAAGGTATTCGGCTGCTGACCCGCAGGTCATGGGATCGAATCTCTGCTGCGGCGGCTGCATTTTCGGTGGAAGCGAGAATCCTGTAGGCCCGCGTGCTCAAATTTCGGTGCACACTAAAGAACCCCAGGTGGTCGAAATTTCCGCAGTCCTCAACTACGGCGTCTCTTATAATCATATGGTAGTTTTGGGACGTTAAACCCCACATATCGAACGTTCCCAAGATGTTAACTAATTAACTATGGCAACGCAGGCTAATAGTGCTAACAAAGTGAAGAGTTAAAAACCATTTATAATAAGTAGCCTCTCCCGAAGACATCTCATGGAACTTAAGACATGAAATACTGTTGTCATAGCGAGGAAACGAAAGCTCGTTGTAGAATAAATAATTAACGTAGACGCGTCGTTTAACGATCACATCGTGGACAGATGAAAAATCAACCTGCTACTGGAACTTGCGAAATGTCCTGCTCAAGAACTGACAGAAATACAAAGAAATTGTAAAAAAAAAACAACGGATGCACTGCGATAGTAGTAAGTAAACTCGAAATCGGGTACTTCATATAAAGCTACCTGGTATGGGAGCTGTACAATCACCAAGAGCCGCTAGAGCAGCAGTCTGTAACCACAAGCCCAATGTGCTGAAAAAAAAAAAAAAACTGGAATACATACCTTGGAAGTTCGTTGAGTTCGACTCCACGAATATCAATCAAGGAAGACGGGGCTCTGGCAAATGAAATTTGCTAGGACGCGATCAACGCTCCCCCGAGAAACGACGAGGAGTGACGACCGTTCGCCGGCCAGGAGCGCTTTCAACTGCAGCTTTGCAATTAGCGGCTCCCGTAGTGGAAGCTATTCTCCGGTTCCTACGGCAGAGAAGCGGTTCCAGGGAAAAGCTGGGAAAGTACTGTATACGCGACACTCAACCACCGCATAGCGAATTCTGAAACGTCAAAGGTCCAAATATTCGACCTAGAAAACACTGCGCACTTGGCCCCTAGCTGTGTGGCCGCGCCGTCCGTGCATACACCTAAAGGCGCTGTGATAAGCTCTCCTCACGTAACGTCGCTGTTTGGCGAGGAGGAGAAACACATGACTTTCAAGCGGTGTTGATGCGTGGACAACCGACTGTACCCGCGTGACGGGGACGCTGCACCCCTCTCCTTACCTTCTTCCCTATGTTTCTTGTCTTTTCCGCGTCCGTCCTCCCGTGAACACCACCGCCTCGAAGGGTAGACGCCGGACAACTAACAGTTTCTTTTCGAAGAGGGAGAGGTGACCCGACCTCGCTCTAGGTATAGTGAACGAAAATTACAAGATGGCGTCATGTTCTCTCTCGCTAGCTGGATTTCGCGCCGAATGGTGGCGCCCCCACGATCTCCTGACGCCGTGAAGAGGTCGCTGATTGGTGCTCCCTACTTGGACTCCGTCGACCGTGTTCCGATCCTTCCCTTTCTCAATCTTCTCAATCTATTCTTTTAATGCCTCCTTATCTCCTTCCCTCGTGAGCTACTGCTGAGGTGTCGTACTTAGAAGGAGACAGTTGCGGGGCTCACTTTTCTCTTCTTTTCTCTCATTTAAAAAATAACTTAGCCCTCCGCCCTCATGTTCTGATGAGCGCTGTAGCATGCGAGACTTTTTTTTTAGGTGTATCTCTGCTTACAAAAAAAAAAAAACAAGGCACTTTATTGATAACAATACTAACCTGCGTAGCGCTTGCGTAGTCGCGGGTTAGCCACAACCTCCTGCAAAACAAGATGAAACAAAAATACCTAATGCTTAACGTTAACTAATTTTATTTAAGAAATTCAAGAGAAATCTTAACGACGAATTGCAAAAAACCAAAGACAGCATTGTGAATAAGCGGGATCTTTTTTGGGTGCTCTGGACAGTGAGATCTCTTATGCAATCAATAAAATCATTTCTTAAATAGGCATGGAAAGACAGCACCCGTCAGTAACATTATTGGCCGTGAGATGATCACTACTGGTGGGGTCACGTGTATGCCACGTTAGTGGCATACAGAGTAAGCACAGAAAGTACGCAAGTGATTTCATGGGGCCAATTCCAGGCAACACCTTATATCTTTCTGCATCCTCAGGGCAATTTCCGTTGAAGATGCTGATAGCACGGCTGATTCCGCTGTAACAGTAGTGTTTCAAAATACAGGCCAGTATCGATTCTTCCCATCTTTTAGAAGGGTCTGAAGTGAATAATTTTAGAAGGACTTGAGTTTCTGCAATATAAATCAATCATAATAAAAGCTCAGTGGTGTTACAAGAAAAAAAAAGTATGATGCACTCCTGAGTTTGTATTGCTTAACCAACAATAGCACTAGCTCAGAAAGCATGAGGATAAAAAAAAAGCTAGCTGTGGGTGACCTTATTGGTTTTACTGAGGCGTTCGATTGTCTAAATCATCGGCTCTCAAACGCCGGGGCCTTGGGCCACCCCAACCGCTTTTGTTTTCTTTCAAGGGTACCGCGCAGCCCGTTACTTTTTCTGCAGCATGAGGACAATCAGAAGCAAAAAAAGGGGCGGGGAGGGGTGACATTTTCCCCATGTATTCCCCCAGCCCCTGTTCGCGAGCTGCATGCTTCAGTCACCACGCAGCGTAAGCAATGTGTTGATGCCGAAGAAGTCCCGGTAGTACGGAGGCCTGTTTTATCTTTCGCCGAATTAAACAAACGTCGCCAGTCGCATAGCGAAACGGCCGTCAACGAATACACCAATGGTAACGCTAAGCTTAAATGCTTGGTTTAATTACATGACGGACATTGAACACTGGCGAATCACCGTACATGAAATCTGATCGCCGCCGTTCCATGAGCCACGAATGAAGCGCCTATAGGTGCCCATGTGGTTCCATGTGCTTTAACGCTTACACGCATGACTTACCAACGCTTTGCGCGTTATGTCGCCAGTCTCACCACAGATCCGCGAATGCTGAGTGCTTCATGGTGCGTATTAGGTCACCAACCTTCAGTGCTACACGGGAGTCTTTCGCAGCCCTCAGAGGCTCGACGTGAGGATGCGGTGTGAGATGGCTTCGCTGACAGCAAAATGAAGTGCAAACTTCCTTGTCCATAAATAAATTTGTTTCTAATGGAGTTGAAACAACGGGTTGCACTCGG